CAGTATTTTTGCATAATAATGTAATATGTATATATGATTTATAGTCACTGTTTAAAGAAAAATATGAGTTTCTGCACGAGAAGTCACTGTTTGAAGAAATAAATGAATGTCTACACGAATAAAATATATGGCTAGAAAAGGGAAAATGACGCTCAATTTTAAATTTGGCATTTACATAATAATTTCTCAGTCATGCATTACATGTCATATGAATGCTTCCTTATAGGTATAAGAAATTGTACACATTTAACAGTAAACGTTTTATAAAAATCCGGGACCTATAAATGTAAGTTTTTGACAATATTATTTTTAAACGTGTTTTTATGTGAAATATGCAGGGAAATTTTCGAGTGGTGAAACACATTAGTGTAATTAGTTAAGCAATTATAATTTGAAAGTTGTTTTATTTTCAAATATTAGGTATCGCATTATGCTCAAGCACTACAAATGAGGACATAACATAAGCTCTAATGAGCTTTAAACCGACACGATTACAGTTCGTATCGCATTCTGCTTATACATAACAGTTCGTATCGCATTCTGCTCATACACTTCAGTTCGTATCACATTTTGCTCATACATAACAGTTCGTATCGCATTCTGCTCATACACTAAATTTTGTATCGCATTCTGCTTATACACTACATTTCTGATCGCATTCTGCTCATACACTACATTTCTGAACGCATTCTGCTCATACACTACATTTTGGTTCGCATTATTCTCATATTATAACAATATTGTTGATTGTGATTTCATCTCATACACTTTATAATGCGATTTGAAAAATGAAGAGCGTAAAACTAATTTCTAGTTTTACTTATGACTGTTTCCGGATCGTGCTCATCTCCCATTGCCCACAAGGTGTGCTGTTGGTTTTGTCAAGCATACCCGATCAATTCAGTACCCCCATACTAGAATCTTCCCACATACCCAAAATCTACCCACTTATCCGAATCCCAATTCCGACACTTCTATGATTTGAAGCTGTTTGAAAAAAAAGAAGCTATGAGGTATACGCAACCTAACGACACAAATAAACAAAACACGTCTTGTATAATATATACTAATGGGCTATTCAACATCAGGCAAATGAGGTGTTGGGAGAATATAATAGTTTTTTGTCACATAAGTAATTTTTGTATTGTAACAAAAACAAATATTTCTCCAGCTATGGTTATTGATTTACTTAGATGAAGATTAAAAAATGAACAAAATTGAAAACATGTTTATTTTCCTGAACGCGTCTTTTTTTATTGTATATTAGATATTGAACTTTATATTACATCATGAGTCCGCGCTTTCGGTCGATAGTTCGTCTCCTAACCGTTGATTGTTCATATAATGGTAGAGGATCTGGAGGGGGGGGGGCATTTCTTTATTCTTATTTTCAATACCAATTTTCTCTTTTCTTTATTTATTTTGCCCATTATTCTCTTTTCTATATCTATTTTGCCCATTACTCTCTATTCTTTATATTTTTAGCCATTTATTCTGCTCTTTTTGCCTATTATTCTCTATTCTGTAAACCCCACCCAGACCCTCATGGTGTATTGAATAAATTGAAGTCTATGCACATCCCTACGGTTAAAATCGATTGAAAATAAATTTAATTGGCATGACATTGCGTATAAACACTTTAAAAAATATTAAAATCATTAAAATATAATAAGTGTATGCAGTTAATTATTTACATTTGTTAAAGTTGTTTTGTCGTCAGTGTTTTTATTCTTTTCTAGTACTCTTGTTTTCGCCATTAATCGAATCATTGATTATTATTTTACATCCTTGCTTACCTTTGTTAATGACAATTCCCGATAAAGGTTAAAAAACTTTCATCGCAAATTGAATGAATTTTGTAAGCCATATAATATATGCTTTGCCAAAGGGACATGGTTTGATGTAAATTGTGGTCTAAAACAAGGGTGTATCCTTTCGCCTTTGTTATTTAATATTTATATAAATGATCTTGTTGATGAGGTTAAGAAATTGAATATAGGTATAAACATTGAAAATCATAAAGTTAACATGTTGTTATATGCAGATGATCTTGTTTTTATCACTGAGAGTGAGGGTGATTTACAAAAAATATTAGATGTTTTGAATATATGGTGTTGTACTAATGACCTTACTGTCAATTTAGAAAAATCTAAAATAGTACATTTTAGAACACAGTCTGTATCTAGATCAAATTTTTCATTTTTGTTTAATGGTAACAATATTGATATTGTTTCCCAATACACATATTTAGGTTTATTGTTTACTGAGCATTTAAGCTATGATAATATGGCAAAAGCAGTTGCTAAAGCCGCTAGTAGATCGTTGGGTCTGTTGATATCTAAATGTAAAGCTAACGGTGGTTTTCAATATTGTACATTTACAAAATTATTTGATACACTTGTATGGTCTGTAATAGATTATGGTGCCTCTATATGGGGAACACGTGATTTTTCATGTATAAATAGTATTAAAAATAGAGCCATGCGTTTTTTCATGGGTGTAGGAAAATACACACCTAATATGTCTTTGTATGGTGACATGGGCTGGATGCCGTGCAAAATCAAACAGTGGACTAGTGTTTTTAGAAACTGGACACGATTTAATAAAATGAATGATAATAGAGTAAATAAAAAAGTGTATATATGGGGTAACACATGTAAAAAAGTAAAAAATTGGCATTTTAGAGTAAAAAATAAGTTTAAAGAACTTGATATGGAATATTTGTGCAATGGTGATATTTTGAACAAGGATTTAATTAAGAATATTGAAAATGTATGTTTTGAAAAATTTAAGGAAGAATGGTATGACAAAATTATTTCAGATGATAAAAATAAATTACGTACATATAGAATGTTTAAAAATGTATATGGTGTAGAAAATTATTTGATTTTTAATATACCAGGTAGATACAGGAGTGCTTTAGCCAAATTTAGATGTGGCGTAGCACCAATCAGAATTGAAACTGGTCGTTATGAAAATATTGATATTGAAAATAGATTATGTTTTAACTGTATTGATGACGTTGAAGATGAAAAACATGTTTTGTTAAACTGTCCTGTATATTCAGATATTCGTAATGTTATTTTTTTATAATTTATATTTCTTTTTACAAATGAAAATATGGTATTTTATACTGCCAAAATCTGCTATGAAATTTTAATAAAGCGAAAATGTATTTTATACTCATGATAGTTGACTTGTATTTGTATCATAATTTAAGAAAAATTGTTTTATAGTCTCTCATAACTCTTTATAGAGTGGCTCTTGTTGTTAACTTGTGTTTTAAAAAGCTGTATATTTTATATGTAACAAGTGGTGAGACTTTAATAAAGTATTTGTCTTGTCTTGTCTTGTCTGGTATCTTGGAGCATAAAATATAGTTAGCTGGACTATCGTCCGGTAGTTAAGACCGAGCAACTCATTTCACAAAAAAATCTAAGGAGAAAAAATACACGCAAGTCTTGAACAATTCAGTATAACTTACGATATATTTTTGTTGTAAGATTTGTTTGTGAAAAGAGCCCTCGGCCTAGGGTCGCCCATTTTGGCCGTAAGGGACGAATAAATACACTGTATCGTCTGGTTTTAATTGGAACGATACATATGATATCAATGGTTGAGATGGTCATTTTCTCTGTCGTGAAAGAACCCTGGCAAAACAAAATTAAGGATCTGTAGCTAATGTTTTGCAATCCCGGGTTTCTAACTCTATCCTGAATGCCCTCTTTTGTACTGGCTTTCCAAATTTCTTACTAGTCATTCAAGTGGAGTCCCTTTTGAACATACAGCTCCTAATGTTTCTACGTATTTATACATCCTTGGCTTTCAAATGTTTTGTTATTAGGTCTCTTTTGGTCATACATGTATAGTTCCTACTAACGTTTCTACGTATTCATTAGTGTTGTCAAGTTGAACAGTTTTGACTACCCGGTTACTCGGATAATCTTTCGACCGGTTAACCGAAAATAAGTTGATGTTAAAAGGCCTTATCTACAAGTACCCTTCAAATGCACGGTTTTTGATACGATGAATTGAAGTTTATCATTGGCATTATAAGGCTTGGCTTTGGGCATTCCTGGTGAAGTTTTACTTTTGATAATCCAATACTATACTATATCTACTGTGGCGTTTGTGATTGAGAACATGAAAATCTTCTTGATCTCGGCGAATTGACAAAGTGTTAGAGCGCTGATTGTTTCATTTTCTCTGGGGTCTCACAGAAAAATTCGTGGAGTGTTTCAATTTGAGATGATTAAGCATGTTACTCGTACCACTCAGTATTTCAGCCCAGTATACATTCAATTTCAGACAATTCAACAAAATGCATTATTGATATCATTACATTTTTATATCAAATCTATTAAAATTGAAAAACGATCCGGTTAACCGGATTTTTAGTATTCTATATTTGGTCCTTCCGTAAAACTAGACTATTTATACATCCCTCAGGGCGGCTTTCAAATGTTTTTTTATGAGCGTTCCTGATGACGGTAAACCAAGAAAGGTTTCGGAGCACGAAATTTAGTATTATTTTCATTCACCAGCACGGGTCGATACCTCTGCTGGTGAACTGTTAGTCCCGGAAAATATTGAGAACTTACACACTTCATGGTACAAAGATCACTAATTTGAAATGGGTTTTACTGTTGAATGGTTTACTGATTTGATCTTTTATGGAAGTTATTTAGAATAGTTCATTTAGTTCATTACCCATTAATGGAATTAATAGCAAGTACCGAATAATTGCTATCGTCGATTTGGGATAAGCTGGTGACAACTTTTAAAATAACATATGAATAGAGCACTGTATTTTTAGAAAAGTGCAATATTCGTTAAAATTTCTCAAAAATAAAACATCTGACGCTCGATAACTCGACAATCAAACGCAGTACTTCGGAAATGTTCGGAGGGTCGACGAACTTGCTTCGGAAGTTGGAAATGACAGTATAGACGTCATCATGTCAAGAATTAATATTTATGTTGTTCCTTTTTCTTTACAGCTATTTACACATAATTGACGTTATAACCAAGTGATCAACAGAGACGACAGAAGAGTCAAAAATAGAAAATAACAGGAGTGGAAAATATGTCAGACAGCATGACATTCCATTCAGCAACAAAGTTCGTTGAATTTTTCCAAGTTATCTGCATTGTAATCACACTTGGCGGAGGAGTAGCAATACTATTGGACAAAGCCATCAAATCATTCTTTTCCAAGTATGACAACCAAAACACACCAAAGACTTTTTTCATATCTTTGTTCATTGGATTTCTCCAAGAGGTCTTCTTTTCTATAAATTGGATGTGGAAAACTTCTAATTTGTGCAGTTTTGATATATTTATGAAAGATATGTACTCGTTACCTGTCGTCTGCTTCGTATCGACGTTCGCTGTAATCACAATATCAGAAAGTTCAATTTTGAGGTCAACGACTCGGAAATTTGTATATGTAACATATATTTCTACTGCCTTGTTGTTTATCATTGGAACGAGAACTATTTTTATTCTATGTTACTATGGTAACAATTTTGCGCATATATTCGGAGGTTGTGACATGTCATTCTCTAACTCCTTGTACAATCAGATAAACATCACAATGACATCATTTGTGTGCGAATATTGCAGCCCAGCCTCGTGTTATGCTTTGGAATACACGTTAATATATATACCAAGCACTGCAATTCTGTTTTACAACATTAAGGATATCTTAGAAATATTTAAACAAAGTAAGTATATGTAGACGATAAGAATATCTGAAAATCATGTTAATTTAAAAGGGTCTGGATTGGGTCTACAGAATAGAGAATAAAGGGCAAAAGTTGCAGAATAACGGGGAAAAAATTAAAAAATAGAGAAAAAAGCCCCCCTTAAAAAAAAAGAATAGAAATACTTGGATGCTGAAATTTAAAAATATGGTCAATAAAATGGTATAAAAAATAGTCAAAATTTGAATTTATATATATGAAATAAAAATGTGTAACAAATATATGCATTAAAGACAACACTTCAAAGGTATGCTGAAAATAATTGTTGTCCATTGTTTTATTTTACCAAAACTACTATACATTTAAATTAATTGAGGGCGATAAATAATGGAAAAAAAACAGTTATCGTTGAAACTTTTTTTAAATGTGTACCAATTGTATATGGTCCAGCTGATTCATGCATATTTTTAGAATTCTGGGTTTGATGATAAAAGCATAAAACTTTGCATAATTGTAGATATATATTTGGTAGCCAATTTAAGCTATGGACCCAATCCAATATGGCGGCCATTTTCAAGATGTCTGCCAATCAGTCCGAATTTCACAACCATGTATAGATTAAAGCAAATAATATTCAAACCAAATATATTGTCAAAATGTTGCATGAACAAAAATGGCCATTACACTACACCTGCCTTTCCTTAACTTATTGATCGATTGTTGTTTGATTAGCGAAAGTGAAAAATATTTTCAAGATGAGACCCATATTTTTTTTAATATTTGAGTACTTATATGAATCATACAGATCTTAGCACGTGTAAAACAAAATGGAGTTATCTTATAGTTATCGTTCGTTGATCTTATTTAAGAAGATTTGTGTAAAATTTCTATACGGGCAAATGGATCCCTGGATGCGAAATGCCGTCAGTTGGAAAAAACATAACATACATAACCAAGTCGATTATAGTTGTATTAGTATATAAACAATATGAATATACTCTTCATTTTACTAGATAGAACCGGATTTTTAAAATCGCAACTATTAGATACCGTTCCGCGGAATACATGGCATTCTAGATTTGAATTCCTTGCCCACCAGTCTTTGTCATTACACCTAAATCCAACAATCTAGACACAGAACCGTTAACTCGACTAGGGTAAGAACACAATCTCTCGTACCCCTCGTGAACATATTGTCACGAGATTGCTACATGTTTAAAATGAAATAAGACGCGGAAAAATGGAATATCTCGTAACTAAGGTAATTCTCAAAAGACAGAATCTGACATGGTGGGGCCCTTTATAGCTTGCTGTTCGGTGTGAGCCAAGGCTCCGTGTTGAAGGCCGTACTTTGACCTATGATTGTTAACTTTTGTGACTTGGATGGAGAGTTGTCTCATTGGCACTCATATCATAGTCATACCACATCTTCTTATTTATATGTACTTACTTTTTCAGATTGGCAGATAAATAAGTCAGGTACAACACAAGAGAAGGAGAAACATGATATGAATGATATGACACAGAAATGCATCTTATTAATTTTCCTTTTGGTAATATGGATTATCAGACCGGTGTCCTGGATATTGGACTTGTGTTACAGTTTAACGTCAGATGATTTGATTCCCAGTATGACTGTTTTAATTTTGTATATCTTTTTACTTTGGTATTTGTCACAGCAAATGTGTTTGCCGTCGTCTGAGAATGAAAGGAATTCAGATCATTACACTCCACTTAAATACACCGTTGAAAGTCCATTATCTAAGTAAAGGTCGCGAGTATTAAACTCAATTACAATGAACATTATTACACTGAGAGTTTTTATATTGTTTTTTTTTATTGTCAGATGGTCTGTGGAGTCAGTAACGATATAGATGTATAATATTAGCTTTATGCATCTATGGTAACAGAAAGAGCATAATTATGTGCACTGAGCTGCGTTCTTATAATTCTTACAACTAATAACTTATAAAATGGACATTATCGTGTTGTTTACAGTCTACCCAACAAAGGACAGAAGTACTGGAGTGACTGACAAATACATTGACCAGCTCGAGCCGCAGGCAACCTTCTTTTTTATACTGAAGATGAAGGACAAATGGCCGTGTTTAAATCAATGAAAAGTCAAATTTATATATAATATGAAATAATAATGTGTAACAAATATATGCATTAAAGACAACACTTCAAAGGTATGCTGACAATAATTGTTTGTCCATTGTTTTATTTTACAAAAACTACTATACATTCAAAAATAATTGAGGGCGATAAATAATGGGAAAAAACGTAATGGTTGAAGAAACTTCTTTTTTAATGAGAAATTATTTAAAACTAAGTTTTACATAGACCAAGCTTATAATGCAAAACGGTTATCTCCATTATATTGCAAAATGAATAAAACATTGCATATTTTAATCACTGTTTTGCAGTACAAATCTCACAAATTAATAATCGTTGAAACGTTGTCATCTTCCGTCACCTAAACATATGACGTCTTTAATATAAGTAAGCTTCTGGCATCAAACGTCAACACTAGACGTATTTTCATGATTCTTGTGTACGCTTCAGATATGTCCTTGATGATAATAGAGAACCGGTATATGAATTTTTTAAATATGCAGGAAACAAATAACTTCCAATGCGAAAAGGCCGAATCTGTAGTAGCTTATTTGCCAATTGTCGATTTGATTTTGTTACTTTACACTCTTAACACAGGTTAATTCCCTTTGCTAATTCTAGTCTGGTTCTAAACTGGACAAACAGTAGCTGGGATTTCTCAAACATTTCCCATTCATATATTAAAATCTTGTGATAATCACGACCAATAATAATTCATAGCAAAATCATAACCCATTCATGTACTTCCTAGTTATCCTGTATACATTTTCTACATCTTAATTTGATTTAAAAGGATAAAAAAGAGTATAAAGTTTGAATAAATCGAGCTTAAGCAATCAAAGATCAGCCAAAAAAAATCATGGATAAGATTAGATTATTCTACTTGTACATTTCGCGTGTTTATCTCCCGAACGCTTATATATTTAGCTTCCCAAAAATTTGAACTCGAAAGCAACTGATTTATTTTATACTCCAAAAAATGTGTTACGGCATCAAAGGCTTATATCATCACATCTTGGTCAGTTTCTTTGTTGGTGTTCTGTCAGTTCGGAATTGCCTATCCGCCAAAAAGTGTGTGCTCTCGTTTGAAAATGTTTTTGATCAATACATCAATTTCTATTTTAAGTCTGTAGTTTTTGAAAAGGAAAATTCTTATAGAACTAAAAATCATACTTTCCCAATGAAGTTGACTGTTAATAATTTTGTTGTTCAATCGAAGTGTCTATTTAATTTTATTTCAACAGGTTTGAATATTTGGCAAATAATGAATACCGCATTGGCATTTCCGAAAGTGATTTAACTTTTTTTACATGTTTAATTTAACCATCATGAACAAAGCTTTAAAAACCCGGAGAGGTTTGTGTTAACCTGCAGGTAAAATGCCTTATTTCAAACCAATTACATCCAATCTTTTCTATAGTACTATCAAGCACTTTGATTAATTTGTTCGCGTCCCCAATACGCCTGAATTATTTGCAAGTGGACGACAAGTGAGTAAAATTCAACCTTTTAGCAAAATTACAGCTAGAGTTTATGGCCGGAAAATTAATTGTAGGATCGCATCATTATGATCACCTATAACCACTTGCTATAAAGTGGGCTTTGCCACCGGGAACTGACAATATTATAGGCCACTTCACGGTTATTTCGGCTATATTGAATAGGGGGCAGATTTTTTGGATAGTATGAAAGTACGGGAAATTCTATGCATGTTTCCAAGCAACTGTTCTGTTTTAATGATGTTTTCCGGTATTTTTCAAACCATTGTTACCTCCATTATTAAAAACCTGCCCCCTATTCTACATGGCTGCTATAACTGTGAAGGGAAAAAAGTAGTATTACATTTACCCAGCTTTAGGTTGGCCTTTTGTGTACCCAAGGCAGGTGAAGGAAGTCAACTTAGGAGTGCTGTCATTGGATGTAAGGGTAAATATATTTTTTTATTTATTCATGAATAACTGCAGTGTGTATATTTACAATATAAATTTTGAAACCCATTGAAATATTTCTTGAGAATTATTCGAAGAGACTTCCAAATTTTCATAAACTTGAGTTAAAATGACGGTGGGCATGGATACCATAAACAAGCTCCGTTGGAAGATGGTCATGATACTATTTGACTTCAAATTCTAAAACAGAATAATAAAGTACTAATACCACACATAACTGTTTTGTCCAGGTTTTTATTATAAAAAGTAGTAAATTTAGAAAATGTTAGTATTGTCGCCTACGGAAGAATAAATCCTACCGTTTTCCCTGAAGGAGCCTATTAACCAAAAGTTGCATCGACCCAGTGTTAGGTAAAAACGATTTCAAATTAAAAGTTATTACTTTACAAAAGATGAGCAATATTTACAGATCAGGGCCCGTATGCATAAAGCCACTTAAGTTAAGATTTGTTCGGAACGGATGGATTTTTCTACATGTCCTACGATAAATTAGTACTTCGATTGGATATTGGATAACTTAGGTGGTTTTATGCATATCAGCCAAAGTTGTTATATGCAAAATGATCAAAGAGAAACTGTTTCTAATGATACAATGTTTTAAACTAGGCTGCTGTCTAGAAATTTTTCCATTTTAAGTTTTCAATACCCTTATTTCAATAAATCAATGAATCTAGTGTCGCATTTAAGAGATCACGGTTTCAAACTTGTGTCCGAAATGGTTTCTGTTGTAGTTCTAATTCTTGACTTTTGACATATAGTTGTCTAATTACCACATCTTCTTATTTTTATTCTAGTCTGCAAGTGATACCTGATATTTAAATTCTATTTGTGCCTTAAGTGGATCATCAAAAGCTTCTCGTGAAAGTCTATTTGTTTTACTTAACAATCTGATTAAAATACAGATCAGGTAACCAAGCTTCGCCGTCCTCCTTTCTGTTTTGAGAAATATAATATCAACCAATAAATTTTTGAATTTATCATAACGACAAGACCTGAGGATCCCGAAATGTCGTTAAAACAGAAAGTAGAATGGCGTTTTCAGATCCTTGTATGCGAAGCGTGGAAACAGGACGGTCCGACCTGCATTCTAAGGCTGGTTCTCTATCTTGCAACATACGGGTATCTGAGTCACCCTTGTGGTCAAGGGTGCTTTTATCTGTCAGAGCCAAACAGATAAAGGACAGGGAACCAGTCTACATTTTAATCCGATTGTTTTACATAATGTTTACCTTTTATTACATTTCTACCACTTGGACATATTGAATCTTTGCAGTTTGAACACGGTATTACGTTATAGCACCATCCTTTGAAAGTAAAAACAAAAATAAGACGTTTGAAGATAACAATCGGGCAATCGGGTACTGAAAAAAAAACAGCAGTCAAGATCATTTGCGGCAGTCCAAGGGTTTTGGTGAATAAATGAGGGTACGGATGGTGTGTCCTTCATTTCTTTATTCTTACAATTTTTAAACATGTTTTCTCTCATTTTGCCAAATATTCTCTATTTATTTATTTTGACACCCCCTTATTCTCTTTTTTTTATGCTTTTCAATTTTCTATTTTCTCTATTCATTATCTATTTTGCCTATTATTCTCTATTCTGAAAACCCCATTCAGACCCTCTTAAATTTTAGAATATATAAAAATATGTGTTGTGTTGAGCTTAGTTTTAAAACTCTTTCTTCGTTTGGCTTATATTGACATAATAGTTACTCGTCAAAAGGACATTGTCATGATAAATAGATTACCCAATAGACATCGAAAATACAGGGGCCTTGGTGACCGAGTGGTCTCAGTAATTCGACTACTGTATAACTAGCTGTCAACATGAAGGTTGCAAGTTCGAACCCCGCACGTGGCAGATACGTTCCACTCTTATTTTGATTTACTAGGATTGTCAGTTTTCCTGCCGAAGGTCGGTGGTTCTCTCCGGGCTACTCCACCAATAAAAACCAGACGCCATAAAATAGCCAATAGTGCTGAAAGTGGCATTAAACACCGAAAATGAATGAATGCATCAAGCAATCTGGAAAATGCATGAACTGCTGTAGACAATATGTCGGGGGAAAACACACACACAATAAAAAAAAGTCCAGCCAACAACAATATAACCACAAATGTGAACCTCGGGAGTGGAGGTACTTGCCACGCATTTAATGAGTGGTAGGCCGGATGGCCACTGGAATAGTTCACTATTTCAAGCTTGATAATATATTATAAGGTCGAGAAATTAAGATGAAAGATATGATACGGTATCTGATTAAATTATAAGTATCTGAAACTTTTCAAAGATCTGATTTAAACTACGTTAGTAAATGAATCAGTTATTGTCAAATCTATTTACCTCTCTGTAAAATAGCTTTATCGCGATGGCTTGCTCGGTACTACAGGAAATTAGCTGGGATAGAAACGTTAAAACGGTTTCTGTTGTTCTCATCATCTGCAAAAGACGTACCGCATTATTATTATACGTACCGCCACAATGCCTGACAATGTCGTCGACAGAAAGCATCGTAAGCACAAACTCCTTCATGGCTCTGGTGGATCAACAACCATCTTCCTTTAAGAGAAATTATTGATTGGTTGATTAATTGATTGATTGATTGATTGAGTGATTGATTGATTGATTGATTGATCACCAGTTTTTGGTGGGGTTCGTGTTATTCAGTCTAGTTTCTATGTTGTGTTTTGTATACTGTTGTTTGTCTTTTCGTCGTTTTTCGGGGGTTTTTTTCATTGCATTGTCAGTTCGATTTCGACTTATGATTTTAAAATATCCTTTTGATATCATCCACCTTTGTTTTTCTAGATAAAAGTTACAGCTGAATGAAAACATGTTTCCATTTCCGAAATAGTTTGCAGACCCCGCCCGAACCAGTCTTTGTTCTTATCGCTAATCAATACCACGTGATTGGTGAAGAAGCAGCAAATATCAGTTCAGAATTCGAATCTTAATTTGAACAATATTTTTAAGCCGAAATCAGAATCCACGACCTTTGATACGGACTTGAGGCAAGTACGCTTCAATTCACCAAATATGTATACAATCGATAAGTTTTAATGAATTCAGTGGAAACACGGATTTTATAAAAAAAAAATAATAAGCTGAAGACCGAAGTTGATACACC